CTGTGCTCTTCTATGTAGATTAATGTCGACGCCTGTCGCAAGAGAGCTGCAAGCTACTTTTACGTTGTCGCTTCACCAGGCTGCGGTATAATGGGTACGACGTGTATCCCGCATTTTATCGAAATTGGCGTTACTTAATCACAAGTATTTTTGTAAGTATTTAATCCTGAGAATTAGGATGAATTAATCTAGTCGCACATTTTTTTTACGAATTATGATATTTTTATCTGTATAATTTATCTCCGTTATTATTGTCGCTTCTATTTTCGGCGCATTTTTCTGTATAGACAAATTTCATTAATATCGTATATGAAATATTTTATATTTAATATTCAATTTTGATATTTATTTCTCCTAACAAATTTTTTTGCCTTACATATTTTATAATAGCACTCAACCCTACAAAATTCTATGAATTTTCTATTTTTAAAAAATTTTCATATATTTTATATTATATTATTTAATATATTAATTATTTATATTAATGTTATTTTAATTTTTATATTTGATATGTCACTAGATCCAGTTCTCAATCTTGGAGCGTATATTACAGATTCTGTTTGACTTACGAAATTAATATGAAATATGTATTAGTTTATCTTTCGAAGATGATTTAATTTGATAATCGAAGAGTTGATTAAATTTAATAAAAATTATTATTACTATTACTGGGACAGTAATTCACTTTTAATACAATTATTATTACTATCACTAGGACAGTAATTCACTTTTACTACAATTTTAATTACACATAAGAATAGCAGCTGCTAAATTAAAATTGAAATAACAGTTAGAGAACAATAATATTATGATTTGTCTTCTTTTAACTCATTTTAATTTTTTTTCATTTCTTCTTTTCACCGAACAACTATATCATTTGTAAAACAATTAGCTGTATGCAAGAGAACCAAGAAACGTTTATTAAGATTATTCATAAATTTGAAATTATCGATTTAAAATTATTATCATCGTTAAATTATCCAAATAAATAAAGAAAAAGAATGTAGGTACATATAAATAGCTCGACCAAATAACTTTCAAAATAACGTAATTAAATAATGTAATAAATGTACTGTTTCAACAAGAATTAAATTATACAGCATTTATTTTTCATTTCATTAATAAATATTAATAAAATCTCAAATTAAATTTTCTGTTAAAATGAAATTAATATACTTGTAGTACCTTTGTCAAGAAGACTAGTGATATTTATCTGCTTTTTTATGTTTTTAAGACAGTCATTCTTTCTAACTTGCAAAATTTCTGAAGGATGCGTATAGAGTAGGTAATCTGTGCGCAAAAACGTTTGAATATCTATCATATAATAGTGCTGTTACGTGCACTCTAAAATAACGGTTAAATACACGATGATATTATTATACGTTTCACGAAGAATTCAAGACACGTTTGTTCTCGTAAGAAAGCAGTTTGATACATAAATTCGCGAGGTACTTTAAGTTCGACAAATTGAGGTCACAATCAGCTATGCGTCAAGAGCAACTTTTTCCAAGTTCTTTCGTGTTCCGTTCGTGTTTCAATTGGTTTTGCAATCAAACAAAACGATAAAAGTTGGGAAATCTCTTAAAACGATCGTATGCTTATATAAAATCTACCGTGATGAGAGAGAAAAATGAATGACAAAGTTCTTATTTCCTTTTTCGAAAAAATATTATTATTTTATTTAATATATGCACTATATTAATAACCATAATAATAAAAATAATAACGAATAGTATATATAAAATTAAGGAATAACTACTTCGTCTAATTCGCGTTTAGAATAGTGTTTCGATAATGACTACCGATTTTATCTTTTTATTTTTTTCATTAGAGCGCAAAATTAATTTCTGAGGCGTTTGGAAGTTTAAGAAGAATACAATCCTCTATTATGAGAGACGAAAGTTTCTGAACGTTGCTTATGCTTTATTGTGTATTGCGTACAATGTCGCGATTATACACTTGAAAACTCCTCCACCCTACTCGTTTAACTTACCGCGATGTTACGACATGGTACACGACAGAGAAGAAGACAGATCAGCAGTTGGAATTTTGTATACACAGTGATTCTATTCACGTCTGTCGCGATGATGGCTCGCGTATATATATGTGGAAAATCGCTACGTTTGCTGAATAAACCACTCCAGAGGAGGGTTGTCTCATTCTTCATAAACTTTAAAAGTTAACAATACTTAAATGGAGAGTGTGCTCAGCATGAGAAGCTTGCGGCAGAAAGATCTCCGTCAAAATGAATTTAGAGATCCTCTCGTATTTAAAATTTAAGTGCGGGTTCAATTATGAAATTACTTAATAACACAATTAAACCATAATTTTGTTTTGGATAACAGAAACTGTACTCTTTACAGCTCTAATGTAACTCGACATTTAGAGAAGAAGAAGCTTGAATAAAACATTTGATTTTTTCTTACATTAATTAATATGTTTATATTTAAATTAATAGATATGTATATTAATTATAAGTAAAACCTTTTTCATCTTGTATTATTGATATATTTGTTATAATTTAATATAAAAATGTACAAAAGGCGATTTAACAAAAACGCATTAATTATAAATAACATCTTTTCTTTTTTTATTTATGATTAATGCGTTTTTATTTTATTATTTAAAAATTTTTAAGAGCATACAAAATTTATGTTTGTCTCTTATATTTTCAAATTTATATCTCGATATTAATAGACTTCCACGGAAAATTTAACATTGACATTCATTATATTAGTAGATTATATACGTATTACATGTACAATAGAATATACGTATTATATGTACATAAAGTTTTTGACGTTTCGTAATTGCGCGTTTCTCGGGATCTCTCCTTAATTCGCAAGGAGTCTAGATAAATTTAATATGAGATGAGTTAGCGCGAGTAAACCACGACATTGCAGTGATGATGAAGCATTAACCTAATTAAATAACATCGTATGGCAATGAAGCTATTTAGCAAGTCGTTAAACATCACCGTAATGCGTTTATGAGATTAACCTAAACATTAAATCAAGAATTATCAAATAATTCCATTTATCCAGAGTACGTGAGGTATCGCTCCAGTGAGAGCCTAACTTGAGCTCAACTTGTCGATATTAACTCTTCGGAAAGTTAGGAGTCATCCGGTATGACTCGAACTATCGATGTATAATTTGACATGGATTTAACCAAGATCATTATCCGTGGTTATCTAGCTTCCGCGAAAATGAAGTACTTCATGCATAGTGAAATGCATACATTTCCACGCTCGATTCCGTATGTTTCAGTTGATTTAGTGAAGTCGTAGAAAAGCATTTAAACTAGGAAGGAGTATTCGAAAGAAAGTTAAATCACAGATAAGTAGATCCTGAGAATTCAAAGCATAAAATTGCTGTCGATAAAAGGATTATGTTGAGCATTTGATTTGTTTTTTATCATCTTCCATCACATTATACATTCAAAATAGGAATATTATTAACCCTTATCGTACCATCTACAATTTGGTGCCTCATCCATACCATCAAGGGTCACTAGAATCTCTTCGTTTTTTTCACCTCTTCAAAATAATTTTAAAAATCTCTAAAAATTCACCAACATACTTTCAACTTTCTAGAATAAATATTGACTCTTTATTTTGGAAAATAATAAAATGTAGTATAATTTATAATTACCGAAAGACTCAAAGAAACTTGCACGAACAGGAATCGCTCGGTCACTACCCTAACAGCACAAACCTCCATGGGACGTCCTGAAGACGTCCAAAGGACATACGGACGTCCTTTGGATGTCCTCAGGACGTCCCATGGAGGTTTGTGCTGTTAGAGTAACTATAGTTACCCATATTGGTACGGAAAGGGTTAAATAAAGTTTAGATATTTTATTAAATAAGAATATTATTAAATATTCCTATTTAATAAAATATCTAAACTAGAGATAATGTTTACACTGAGAGAAAAATGTTTGATATTTGTAACAATAGATGAAATAATTAAAACAATTATAGTTATAATTATATATATATTTTATCATGCAATTATAGCCATAAATACTGAATTTTTCTTTCAATGTAGTTAATACTGTAGTATTTTCTTTTTCTTTATAGTTGCCTTATCACTTCGGATATACTGCTGTACAATACGAAAAAAAAAAAAAAATGCGAATTGAATCTACTGATGTCTTACGTTTGGCCGTAAAATATAAATAAGACCTTTATTTTCGAGAAGTGTTTCAGAAGGTAATACATCGTTATTTGTCAATCTCGTAAAAGGGTCGTAACAAACGAGTTGTCTATCGTTCGGACATCGCGTAAAATTGAAATATTGGCGAGAACGATCACATGTAACGGTTAGTTTGAAATAAATATTACCTGATTTATGGAATGTGAGTTCTACGATATGTTTCGATTTCACTCTTCGAAGTGTAGTATGGACATCATAAATAATTTCCATGTATCACACGAAATGCCAGAGATATAAATACATTGTGGTTAATTTCGAGAAATATTATTATTAATACTTTAAATTTGCCCCCAATAATAACACAGTAAAAACAGATATATGCCACGTAAAGAACGAAAGTGTACAGATTTTCGTATGAATGATGAAACGTCTAACTTCGTATCCCGTATTGCCCTTTCAATAATGTAGGCTACTTGCGACCACGTTTTTGACGTATGAATGTAATATACACTGGAGATGTTGCATAACAAACAGAAGTCGTATGGCTAAAAATATGGCATGCAATTTATGACAGGAAGTTACTCGAAAAGTTTTAAAATAGTTTCCGTAAATCTCTCAGTACCTCTTTATAAAACATCTGAAAAATGTTTATATACTTCGTACAAGACATCGAAATTACTCGACGTATTTCCTATTTGTATTTTTAAGAACATAAAATTTTGATATTGCGCTCTCTCTCTCTCTCTCTCTCTCTCTCTCTTTCTCTCCCTCCCTCATATCCAGTTTGATATACAAATTTAATCTTACTACGGTAATGCTGCATAATGTAATGTATCGCACCTGTGACGTTAAGAAGAACGTGCTGCACGTTGTTGCATTCGCGGTTGACCGCCATATACGTAGCCTCGCACTTGTACAGACCCTCGTTGTTCAGTTGAATTTCGGATAGCTTCAAATACGATCTAGATGAATTCGACGAATACTCTATGTCCGCTCTGAAACATTTAAAACGTAAAATATTTATACTGTTTAATTGATTTCAAATTATAATAAAAACATTATTTACTTTAAGGTAATATTCTATTTCCGCTCTAAAACATTTCAATAACGCAAATAATTCACACACTAGAAAAAGAGTCCGCATTAATTGGAATTTTAATTAAGAATGAATATATATAAATTAGAATTTTTTTTATCGAATCTATTATAATTTTAGTTGAGATAAGATAACCAGAATTCTGGTTGATATAATCTTTTCGTTTGTTTTCAACTAGAAATTTTTATGCACTGTTAGAAAATTACAGAAAGCGTGGAATTAATTAAAAAGGTAATAACTTTCTAAATTAATTTTGGTTGTTTGAAAGTTTGATATGTTTAATTTAATATAATATACCCGAAATGGCTGTTAGTAGTGAAATTATAACGCGATGGTAACAATGAGGGAACACTTTATTTAATGAATTTTTAGTAGGTAAGCATTTCACGCGGTAACAATGACAAATGTATTTCCTTTAGAATATGATATGTAACATTCGCTTGCCACATTACGATAATTTTATTTTCGTATAATTAATACCAGTCACAATTATAACGCGCAGCTTTTGTACCGAATACATTGATTGTTTATGCACTTTATTAATGACGATCACAGGGTATACCATTATGTGGTTCATGCCAACGCAAGTATAATGACCTCACGTAATGTCAATCTCAAATTGTGATTAACACCGAGTAATGAATCGAACAATCAATGAAATTAATCTGCTTGTTATCCCGCCGGAGTAGTACAATCCATTTACGACGATAAGGTAGTGTTGATATCGTCATGTACCTTGCTATTCAATTACATGTTCAATTCGAATCGTTTTCTGTTTACAATATTTATATATTATATATATTCGATATATAGACATGCATATTCTTTACATTTTTCGGAATCTCACTCTAAAGAGTGAAATATCTCATTCTTAAAGATTGAAAATTCTGCCACTCTTTTTTACACTAAAAAAATGTTTACATTTTAATAAATATTTTTTTTAATATTTGTAAGTGACATTTACTAAATATTAACATATATTTATTTAATACAGAATCATTAATTTGATTTATCATTTTTTCCATTAAAATATTTATTTACTATAAGTAAATGTGTTTGCTTACAAATATTCACACACAAAAAAATATTTATTAAGATATAGTAAATTCTTTTTCAGTGTAAGAGTAACAGAATTTTTACTTTTTAGAGTGAGATTCCAAAGAATTTAAAGAGTGCATATTTCAGAAATATTTAACAGACTCGAACGATTTTTTTATATGATCCTTTGAATATGCATTAGTAATTTATAATAAATAAAGATAAATTGCACATGTTTTTGTGGTTACTGCATTACACACGTTGTTTTTATGTATAACACAGTAACCACAAAAATCCTGAAAGCTCGTAATTACAATTTGATCACGATGCAAATGCATCCTTCGCAGACCATTAATGTACGATGGGTAAACTGTGAATGTGAAGCAACAAGACGTTAACCGAAGGTCTCGCCATTTATATCCGTAAATGGCAAGCAGACGCAGTCAATCTATATAGGTCTCGCTCGATATTCTGTCAATAGATATTGAGTATATTCATCGACGCATAAGTACAGAAATCGGGACACCTCTCTTGAATACACCAGCAACTCGATACAATTTACATCTCCATTAAACTGATTACTTGTTATCTAAAGACGAGTGAACGAGAAAGTGCTAAAAAATGCACATTGCAAAAGAAAACGAGGGAAATAATGAATTCAAATCATGTTTCTTTTTCTTTCTTTACAAAATTGTTAAGTATATGATTATGTAGTTTATTTAATATTGGCGAATATAATATTTTCACAAATGTTTGATTAAAAAATTCAATATACACTATCAATATTCAATATACACTACCGCTCATAAGTTTCATCATATTCTTTATAGAAATCTTATACAAATATAAAGAATAAGATATGAATATAATTTGCTCTTTGATTTATTATTATACATTTTTACTATAAAATGAAGAAAAAAAAACTTTTTTCTCAGATTTTTTTGTATCTTTAAACTTAATTTTCTTGGGTTTTGGTAATAGAAGTCAAATGTTCTTGGCATTCTATCGATATCTTCAAGTGCTTTAATTAAAGACATGTGTTTTAATCCGGCGCTTAATTTCTATGAAAATATATTGTTTCCATTTTCTTATTGTTAGTCGTTATGATATTCAAGTGTTTATCGATTATCTATAGCACAAAATTTGAAATAGATATTTCTTTTAACTGATAATTCATCTATTTGAATAAGAGATTTATTTATAATTTTATTAACAGTTTTTCAACATATTAACATCTTTATAATATGATGCCTGATTGAGCATCAAATTATTAAAATTGCTTGTCAATTTAATTCGCAATTATTATAGTTTAATTGCGTTTGTAGTCTGGAAAAACAATTCGGTGTGCAGTTCGAAGGACTATAAATATGGCATATATGCGAGTACATATGTAATATATATAATAATTCAAGATTGAATTATTTAAGCATTGAAGATTCAGCTTCGACCGTTATAGACATTTAATTTCTAGATTGATTTTATAATTTCCGTTTCTAATTATTTTTCAGCAATTCGCAACTTTATTGAATACTTTTGTGACTAAAAATAAGAAAGTATATCTTATTATAATTTCCTATCTTATAAATAATAAACAGAATTAACAAAAAATATAAGACTAAAAATATGCTGAAACTTTTGAGCAGTAGTGTATGTATCGTCTATATGCTGTATATGTACATTCATCCAATGACACAATGTTCCCAAATCCGCTTTTATTAACCAGATTAAATATTGGCATGAACAGTTTTCAACCAAAACGTCTGTGTTGCTTTTATTCTCGGTTTCCCCAATTAAACGTATAACATCCAACGAATCATTGTTTTTGCAAGCCGCAAATTCTGCGTTGGTATGAAACGCGGGTGATCGCGGTAAACCGACATTTCGAAGTGTTGTTTGATCGACGAACCGTTTACGGCGTCATTAGCGCGTTGTTCGTACAACAATGTGCCATACCGCTAATCAGCGACATTATGCTGCATAAAACTAAGTATCTTTTGCAGCCTCGTGTAATTAGATGATTAATGCTAGAAACTACAATAAGCACGCATCCATAAGGTATATTATCTTTTGTGTCAATGAAATTTTTCTAGTCTTTTTCAGTTGCCATTTCTTTTATATTTTGAAATGTCAAAATGTAAAATAATTTTTCTATTCGAAATAATTTTGCAGAGCAAAATTATTTTATATTTTTAAATGAATGTGCCGTTTTCAGAATGTCATAAATGCAACATTCTTTTTAATAGCTAATAACATTGCCAAGAGAACTTGTTCTTTATATAACATCCTAAAAGTAGTAAAGTAGCACACATACGTACGATAGCAACACACACAACATGTTTTACATTTTTGAGTTCTAAACCCGGATTCCAACTAATGTGGATAATAGTATGCTGCATTATAAAATCCTAAAAATAGGAGAATTATATTTTGCATTAGCATTATAAAAGCGTAGTGTCTCTTTACATGTCTTATTTTTATACAATGGAATTAGTATGTTGTACCTTTATATTTAAAAATGTACCATTTTCTTCAATAGTATGCAACATTTTCACATGTGATTTTATTTTTCATTCGAGTATACATTATAAAATATTAGATTATATTATAATATAAAATATCAGAAAGGTATGTTCTACATTTTGATTAACAAAATGTATTTCGTACTGCAATTATAGAAAATTTTACGCATAATGTTCGCATATAGATCAGCGTGTTTTTCACGTAAACGTAACATATATATTGTACATAATTCACGAAAAAAAAATGTATAATTCACGATATAATCACTGAATATTGCTCTGCTTATCTATTAGATGTGTGAATAACAAAAGATTTAATCCACAATGGAAAATATTAGAGAAAACAAATTTCATGAAAAATGAAATGTTCCACTTTAATAAACAGATAAAGATTATTATTAAAAAATAATATCTGCTTTTTATACCGTTTAATAGTACTAATCATCGAAGTTTTATCGACGCTAATAGTTAAATGCTGATACTTGTTGACAGAAACCTTATATGTATAATAGAGAATTACGTTTTGTTTTATATAACGAAATAAACGCGGAAAATGTTATAATTATACATCACAATCTCTTTAATGCACATATAACAACGCTTATAGATTTACTTAATCGTGGAAGATAACATTTTAATCACGTATTATCCAATTACATAAAACGCACTTCGCTGTGATTCAAACATCTCATTTGAGAACTATGACTGTAATATTTCACTAAAACTCTGAGAGATCCTGGGAATATATTGTAATAGGAATTTAGTGTTTGTCAAAGGACATCATCTCTATAGAAGATCCTTGCCGTAAAGTGTATACTAAAGCTCGTAATAGTAAATAGAAATAGGGCTTTTACATAAAATTACATTAAATTTTACATTGAAAATTCTGTACATTGACAGTTGAAATATAATGCAGAATAAAAATTCGATCCGATATTATTGTAATAAAAAATTTATGTGTGTTACACTAAAACGAAATAAATAAATAAATCCACAAATAAAAATATTTTTATGTAAATACTCTTATAAAATATTTTATATTTCACGTGTACTCTTCAAATAAAAAAAAATACCGCATTTTAAAAACCATATTAAAGAATGTACAAATATATGTACGAATATATGTATAGATTTATCAATTGTGCTTATTTTTTATTACCATATCATCATAGAATCTTGTTATTTTTCGACAGATGCAGCGAGAGAGTACGTTATATCAAACAAATAAAATATAAAATGCACAATGTAAATGGAACGTTCTCTCGTTAAATTTTTTTTCCATTTTAAGCAACGAAGCTGACAACAGTGACATATATGTACAGGGTGTCCCGAAAGTTTTTGCTAATCGCTTTTATGTACATAGAGCGGACTAAACTGAGTCGACTAGTCCTCTACCATTTTGCAATTTTCGCAATAGTTAACAAGATATTAATTACTAAAAATTACCAAATATTGGTCTTGAATAATTTTTTACTCAAATACTATCAACTTTACGGAAAAACTGCAACAGACAAAAATCATTTATTTTCTTCTCATAAAGTTCTGAGAATTTTTTCAGAATTTTTTATCAAATTTTTAATACTGCATTTTCTTATTTTTACCAACATGAGAAAAATACGGTATTAAAAAATTCTGAAAAAATTCTCAGAACTTTATGAGAAGAAAATAAATAATTTTATGCGATTTATGAGATTGGAAAAAACTTTCGGGACACCCTGTATATCTCTACTTATAGCAAAACATAAAATATCATACTGCTAATGCTTTCCTTTTTATAAAAAGTACTGAATTTTCATGTGTATCCATCTCATATCGTTGCTATATCACTAAATAAGTAAATATGTGAGGCGAAGAAAAAAAAATGATAAGTGACTATTGAAGCGCGTTAATGAAATCAAATGAGAATCACTTAACGGCTAATCTGTGACGTGCTTCTCCCTTTGTGATATCAACCGTGTTACTTTAATTCGTGGTTTACTTGATATTATATATATGGGAATAATTTTAACGTATGAATGATTGTCCTATAATTTCTGCGTCTTTTTCAGATATAAATTTTGTAAATAAATTAGCAGTGATATCTTTTTTTACAAAATAAAATCTATTAAGTAAGTTTAATTAAATTTTTTTTTATTTAATTTAAAAGAGAAATAGGATTATTTTATTTAATTTTTAATAAAAATATTAATTAATTAGCCTAAAAAATTTAAGAAATAAATGTGTAAAAATTATTAATCACTATTCAATAAAGTATGTCGATCGCTTTTTGGTGTTAATTATTTAAAAATATTGGTAAGTTTATTTTAATTAATGTAAATTTGATACACAGAGAGAGAAACACGGTTATCGGATGAAATCTCTAAGGAATACTTCAGATTCGAGTTCGTATACGTCTAATTGCACCGTGCAATACCGACCGGGTCAAATAACTACATCAGAGGGTCGAATCACAATCGAAAGACGTAGCTAATTGACTTAATGGAGGTAATGAGATTGTCTCATTTGAAATTAAATGTACCAATTTTTATAACCAAATAATTAATTAATCTATTTTTATCATTAATAAAATAACTTCCATTAATTACACTTTTTATAACACTGTATAGCGCTTTTTTAAATATAACATAGCATAAATACACACATAGAATAATATACTATAAAAAATTCTGTACTTAAAAAGATTTATTTTATGTTCATTAATTCGTTAATTAATTCATTTGCTAACTTGTTTATTATTTAATTATTACTGTCCATATTCATATTTATATAATTAAAAGAGTATCAGTACGTGTTAATGGTTTTGTATGCAAACAATACGTAAATTGTAAACTGTATTAAATCAACTACAGGAATAATGGCGCAAACTGGATATTATTAAAACAATGAGAGACTTTGATAATTACCAATCGGAAGTTTCATGCACTAAATATTCACGTGTGCATATTCACATGTGCGCATTTAACGCATTTAACGTATTCGAAGCTACATGCTCTATAAATGTAGACCACGAACCACAAAACGCAATTACTGAGTGGTGACCCCGGAATGAGCATAATCGTGAGAGTTACGAATCGTAAAATCGGCAAATTATCAAAATTGAAAATGACTCAAGAAATTGGGTTACCTATTTGCAATTCAGTTGTGTTAATATATTCTGTAGTATTTTTAATGTCGTCTAGACAAAAGATAGAAAGTCTAAGAATATTAATGAAAATAATAAGAAAAATATTTTCTTATTCATATTTTCATTACTATTCTTTTGCTCAAACAAAAATTTGAAATGTTTGTAAAATAGGAATAGATATTTATATAAAATATTTCATTTTAAGTAAATATTAATATAATAAAAAATTATACGCGATTTAAAAATATATATGTAGAAATATAGAAATATAACGTAGATTTGTTTAATGAAGAAATTGTTTAATATAACATTTTTAAATATAAAAAGACGACTTTAGTTGTTTTTGTCATTGTAAAATTAGTGGTTATTATCGTGAGTTTTAGTAAGTTAATATTACGGATTCAATTAGCGCCACTAAATATATTGAGGAATAATGAAATTTAGCATGGTTTCTAGAAAAAAAATACAAGAGAGAGGCAGCCTAATTAAGTCAAGGCACGAGCTGAACCCACTAGCATTATGCATTCAAGTCTCAATATTTTAATTACCTGGCAGCAATGTCGTTATTGCCGCGTATAACCCCGGCATCTTCACTGAAAATGAAAATCCTCGTGGATCCGTGGTACCACTTGATGCTGTGCAGACCGTCACACTGTGGTGATTTCAGGACACAGGGCAGTAAAATCTCTGTTCCGAGCTCAGCAAGCTTCACGGTTTTCAACCACGCTTCGCTCCCTGAAACAAACATTCATGATAATTCGTGTGCAATTGAGTTTGTAATTGAGATTCTAAATATCGATTGCGCCCGACAAAACATAATCAGCAAGCGAATTGTTTTTTTGCGCGATTTTCGGTATACACGATACTAGAGAGCTTACGCAATCCCATATTTCGTATACTCTAAACATGAAGATTTTATGTTTGATGAGAAACAACAATTACAAGTTATTATAACAACATTTCGTATTATTACATATTCACGATTTATGCATCTCGTATTCAAAATATATTGTTGTTGAAAGTTTCATTGAAAGAGAGATTACGTGGTTAATTGATATGATGATAACCGATACCGCAGAACGAAATAAATTGGCGCAGCGGTTTGCTTCGAAAAAAGGTCGCATTCTGAAGCGTATTGTGAATAATTATTGGCACAAGTAAATATATAGTTGTATTTCTATAAAAATTTAAAAATATTGTAGTACAAAAATAAAATTGTTTTTTTACAGATTAACTTTTTCAATATTTATCGCTTAAATTTAAGTTAAATGATTTGTATTTCAATTCAAGTGAAGAATAATGGAGATCCGTCGTAGGAAATCGCGTTATGATGCCTTTTCACGTCTCTCGTACGTGTGAAAAGTTTGTTTCTTCGACATTACTGGATGACTCTTCATTCACTCTTCGCTTCGAAGTGTTTCTTCGAAGAGAAAAATCCATCTCGCCGTTCTGCACTTTGTACAGAGGTCATAAAGAATGAGTTGCTTCTCTTTTTCGCGAAATTCATCCCCAACGTTTCGCCCGGGACTTTCGCAAGCGGTCGCGATTAACATTGTCGAGATACTGAATTGAGTTTTAAAAGCATTGCAAAGGAAAAGAAAAAGAATCTTCACATTAGTGATATTACACACTCTTTGCAATCATGGACTCTTTTACTAACCTTTTATGATGTGAAAAAGTAATTATGGTGAGATGAAAGAAAAATAAGCCATTCTTTGCCTCTTGAAAAAGTTGATTGCGCGAGTAAACGATCGATCATAAGATAACGTTTGGTTATTGCATCTCGAGATTTTGTAATAATATTTGTTATTTATGCTATTATTATTAATTAAAATTAATTGTATAAATTTAACGCAAAAAACCAAGTAATAAGAAAAATGTGAAAAATATATTTTTAATAGCTTTTTGTACCAATTGCTATCACTCGCGAAATTGAGAGAACATATGGCGCGTGAACATTCAGAACATTCAGAATACAGAAGGATTACGATTTATGGGCTTTGCATGAATATCTACAAACAGTGATTTATTCGCCAAATATGGATGTCCATCATTGCTGATGGAATTTCTATGGCTTTAGTGTAGTTTAAGTGATTTTGGTTTTATATGTTCAGATGTGTCACGAGATTTATCGAAAAATCAATTCGGAAATTTGCGCCAGATTAATCCAATGTATCTATGGTGTGTAGATTTGGTCATTATTTCACCAATGCAATTCGAAACTTTTTGCATCAGCATTTGTGAAGAGTGCAAATTTATGAATATTACGTAAAGAGATTGATTATATGTACGTGAAATTGTCGTTAAGTCATATTAAGTCAGGAAAAAAGAGAAAGTAATGAATGTTAAATATACATCGCTCTAGTGAAAATTGAAATAAGGTAAACGTCCTAGAGAGGAGAGAGAGAGAGAGAGAGAGAGAGAGAGAGAGAGAGAGAGAGAGAGAGACCAGACATGTACCTATGTACAGACATTTACATAAAACTTTATTTCTTTATATTATTATTAATCTCTCAAATGTTTTTTAAAAATATAATACTATAATTATTTATAATTTTTAACTACAATCTTTAAATTAGAATGTTGTAATAAAAAAACATTTGAGATTAATAATAATAAATTTTGTATATGTGTTCAGACTTAGGTACATATCGCTGAGATGTTTATCTTAAAAATTTAACAATTTGGTGAAATCAGTAATTTATATATAAGAGAAAGAATGTTCTCTATCTTGTTACTAATAATATTTTACCGCATTGCAAATTTTGAGTATCGTTTTTATACAAATCATTTCTTTAAAATTTAAATGGTAACTAAATATTAAAGAGTTAATTTGTAAAAAAAAAATATTTTACTTTTCTACTAAAATATTTGTAAATTTTTATGGAAGTACGACAATATATTTATATTTATGTTCAACAAGCGTTGCGAAAGATAACTTGAAGTATTACGATGGAAACGCTGTTTGCGTTTGCAAGCATCCGTTGCATTTAGCGCCGCTAATTAGTAGCACTCGCAGTTAAATTTTGCTACGTATGCATAAAGTTTTTATGAGCGCACAGAACCGGGCTGTAACAATGATAATTATTGCACTTGGTGGTACTTATAGCTCCCGTCGGTTCAAACTTCTTGTACGACGGAAGAGATCTCGCAAGTACGACAGTACAAAATACTATGTGTACACTTGCTTGTCTTCTGAGCTCGTTAATAACGATTCGACAATTGTATAATTACTACTAATATAGCGTTGATAATAAGTTTCAATTTCTTAATTAATATAGTAAAGACTTTTTAAAGTTAATGTCAATCAAAATAAAAATCTTGCAGATATTTTTCTCCCGTAGCTTCGTTAATTTTAAAAATGGAAAATGATGAAAATTATATATGGAATGGTTATATTGATATTTCAAATTTAGGTAATTGATAGGTGACATTGATACTTCAAGTTTAGGCAATTGACAGGTAACATTTCTCTCTCGAATTAATTTCGAGATGTAGCGATTAAAAATTGAAAAGTTTGTTTTCAGTTTTTGTTCCATTTTTCTATGGAAAATGTTATGTTTTTAATAAGAGTGCAGAATCTTTAGTGAAATTTTGTTTCTGAAATTATACAATATTCTAGGGAGGTACCATTTATTTTCTCTTCTATACACTAAGGGAGATAAACAGTTGACTATATTACACTGTATACAGCATCGATTATCGCAACGTCTTAACGCTTCAGCAATCACGATTAACGGCGTTAATGCTATGTACTTCATGATTGCCATTACCATTCAAAATCACTCGATTGGAATTGATTATATCTGGGCGTTTAGTTATCGTATTCAATTATGATTACAAATATGATGTCAAATATACTACAAAGTTTGCGACCATTGTAATCTTTCTGTAAAAGTAGCGATCAAAATACGCCTTTGTCATAGAAGTTTCACTCGACATATGTGGGTAGGAAGCGTGATCGGCGAGTTTACAGTTAAAGGCCATGAAATTAGTAACACTTCGAGATGTCGACGTGACTCTAGAGACATTAAAATGTAAAGTAAGTACTATGCTTTGCAACGAGCACCGTTGCGGAAGAGCACGTGCAGATAACGACGTTCTATCGCGGAGGTAGAAAAAGTTATCGACCTCGGATGCTCCGACGCGTGCTTAACCCATTTCGAAATTATACAAATTGCAGCCTGCATTAGCATGGAGCCGGGTTTGAGAGACAGAGTAGGCCGAGACGGACGAACGAGAATTAACCGAGGCGGAGATTTAGCGCCTAGACGAACAAACGATGCACGTATAAATATCGGTAAGGAAATTTATGACACTTAGAACTATATGTTGCATCTAATGTATTGTGTCTAAATAAGATGACCGAAATAGATTTTACTGAATTTCTAACATAATCAACAATTAATTCTTTTAAATCGCTACCATATGTCTAATTAGATTATGTCTAATAATATGCCGAATTCCATAATAACACTGAGAGAAAAATTTTTGATATTTGTAACTATAATTACGTATTATAATTATGATTATTTCTGTTATAATATTAGTAATAGTAACTACATGTATAGATCTATCAACAAATATATATATATATGTATATATATATATATAGTTGGCAACCGAAAAAATAATTATAATTATTATTATCATAAAAATAGTTGTAATCACTATAAGTTATATTAATCATGCTTATGCTGGTAGCAATAGCTATAATTGCAGTTTTATCTTTGTATTTTTATAATTATAGTCATTTTTTTGTTGCAAACTACATATATTTGTTGATAGAACTAAATGTACGTAGTTATTTACCAAAAATTTTTCTTTCAGGAAGCATTCTATCAAAAAAAAAAAATACTCATATGATCTTATATCGTGTTAGATATTATTTTTCCTGTGAATTGCTTCTCTCCCGTATCCCGCATTCCATGTCAGTTTCCTGCAGAATCCTTTACAACATATCCGCGTTGCTTTGAAATGCGTGAAACGTGATGTACTAACAGATACGTCAAATAACGGTAGTAAATAAAGCCAGAGAGTGATAGCTGTATAATGACATGTAATACTAAATTATCATAAATGATTAAATTTTGGAAATCTATAAATATACATTTTAGCTAGATTTTGGAATCTATAAAAGTAATAAAAATAATAGAATTAATATTAAATTATCGCATGAAGTTTATAAAATTTCTCACATGTCTCATAATTTTTTATATTAATGTTAATAACAGTTTCCAACATTTTGAAAATTATTAAAAAGTAATCTATAATTAAAAATTATCGCTTTAATCTCTCACTTTATAACATTATATTGAAATAACTATGAAAGTTTTATGAGGAATTTGTTAAATTTCACGAAATTATTTGTATAGATCAGTATTTCCAAAATATGTCACTGTTGGACGATAATTGTGACGAATTATAATTTTCTGAGGTTATAGTTTTACAATTTTATCTCATTTTACGTTCGAGATCATAAGTATAGTTGTAAGTTTTTATTTAGAAAAATTATTCTGCGGGAAAAATAACAAAAATACTTACAATGCTTATGAGGCAAAGTTATACGTTTATCTAGTTTGTTGTGGAAGTTCTGTATAAACATACGTAAGCATATAATAGCACTTGACGTACGAATTGTTATTGTAATAGTTCTGAGGATTACTGGGATTAACATTCAGAAAGCCTTCTGGGATTCTGTGAGTTAGAAGGGTAACATGAAAGTTCTAATTTGA